AGAAAAAGAGAGAAAGAGAGAGAAAGAGTGAAAGAGATCAATCACCTTTCAGTCCATCAGTGGCTTCGCTCTGCCATCCCTGAGTCACAGCAACCAACCTCTCCTATAGGTTTCCTATTTTTGAAACTTCCGCCACCGCCTTGTGCGGTACTACTGGTATCACATTCTCTTGTCTGGTTCCTAATCCCCATTGTCATTATTGTTTGGTTGAATCTCAATCATATGATCATTCAGATTCATTCAGCAGTTATATCCTTACTTTTGATGGTCATCGCCCTCCCATTTCCCTTGGTTATTAAACTCGCCCTCGAATATTACCACAATGAAGATCTATGAAACCATATAGCCATACATAGCCATACATAGCCATACATAGCCATACATAGCCATACATAGCCATACATAGCTATACATAGCCATACATAGCTATACATAGCCATACAGAGCCATACAGAGCCATACATAGACATAGCCATATAATGTGCTGAACCATGCTGAACCCAATGCCACAAATCATGCCCAAAGTCACGATTTTTCTGGGTGCTATAAACATCTTTCAACCATTCCCAGCCATGGTAGGTTTATAGCATTGCTTTTACATGGTTTTACCACATTATACATTAAAATAACCAACGAAAAGCCATCCACCAAATCTCTAAAATTCCGAGGCCCGCAGGGCGTTCACCATGGCCGAAATGGCTGTGGCATCCGTGTTGGCCCGCAGAGCCGCCATTGCGCGCCAGAGGGCCAGAGCCTAGGATCTGGCCATAGTCATGGGAGCTTCATGGCAGTTTCCCACCATTTTTTGATATCTGTGTAGAGATGGTGAGATATGGATGTTTCCTAAAATGGGGGTACCCCTAAATCATCAAACACCCATATGATTTCCGAGGAAATTACCATTACATGAAAACTATTATTCTTACCAGATTATGATCACTGCAACAATTGTAATTCAGAAACCAGTCACAAGATAAAACAAGTCATTTCTAGGATGGTTCCCGCTGCTAACCATCAGTTCGTTATATTTGCCCCGGTCCCCGCATGTTATAGGCCTGCGTCCAATGTTGCCGACCGCATGCCTCCAAGCCAGCTGTAAAACCGACCTTTCAGGCGAGATTGAGGGCTGGGGGTCTGCAAAGTTTTGTGCACCCCCATCTTTTCGGGAGAAGTCCCAGTTTTTATTGAACGTACCCTCTGGTAATTTAACATAGCTATAGAAAATCACCATTTTTCATGGGTAAACCATCTATAACCATCTATTTCAATGGGCCATGTTCCATAGCTATGTTAGTTTACCAGAGGGTACCGCCATTTTTCAACCATTTTCAACCCGCCCATGGCTCCATCAAACTTTGGGCCTCGTTGGCCACGGATCTGTCAGGTCGAAAGGGCCTGACCTTCGCAATGGCGCGCGCAAGGGGGTCTGGTGGGGTAAAATGATGAAGAGAATGCAATGGAATGACAAGGCGGCCAAATTCGAATGGTTTCATAGTTTTTGGATTCAAATGTGCCAAAATGTGTGACATGTGCCAAAAAGATCCAAACAATGTGTCAAAGAACAAAACCAAAAAGTGCCAAACATAATTGACATTTGTAGGGAGAACACCAAGAACTCGTTTTGCGCGCCAAGAGTCTAAGAGCTGCAGAAGTCGTTGCCACTGGGAAGCTTTCCTCTGGGTCGTTTGTCTTATCATGTCTTATCTGATGCCACCATGAAGGACACCCTTTTAGCCGCCAATCAGTACCCGGTAAAACTTAATCAATCTTGATTAAACATAGCAAATAGCAAAATATCATAACATAGCTACACAAATGGAGGCATATGCTGTCATCATCATAAAGAATGCGCGCGCACACACACACACGCCCCATAATTGAGTGGGAATAATTCACATTTCCCAGATTCTTCTCCAAACCTTGCAGAACAAGAAACAATCGACCCATGCAGCATGTCACACTGATTTGGTGAGCCCACTGCACCAAAAGCCCAGAAAGCCTTAAAATCCTGAAGCAACAAGGCTTCTGGGGTTTCAACCGAAAATCTTTCATCTTCTGATCCAGCCCAGCTCAGCAGGCCGTTGCCGAGATTCTGCGAAGCTAAGGCCAAATAATTCCTGAGCCACCAGTGGAGGCAGCAACCAGGGCACATCACAGCAGCTTCGCTGTGCATACTCAAGACCGGAAGGGGCCCCATGATATGATCCATATATGATCCAAACAAGCATGCGCAAAAACGTCCCGGCGCCTGGTTTACCGCGCGTGTGTTTTGGCATTTTCTCAAGAGTCTTTATGATGACCTTCATGTTTATCTCTTGGTATTTGCAGGACTTTTGAAGCAATCATCATCATGTTTGGTCACAAAATGTGGCTAATTCCATTGTGTTGTATTTTTTCATCATTTTTCACTTGTATTTGCAGGCTTTTGCGAACGCCAGGAGTAGAAAGAGGCTGTTTCAGGATGCCTTGTTTTTTGATGGATTTGCGTTTCGCCACAGGGAGACAACAAAAAATTCGGACTTTTCGGTTTTTTTCTGGCGCAGCACTTTCACTGCATGTTCCCTCGAAGAGTCTCGGCGTGTGCAAGTGCAAGAGACGAGGTAGGTAGCGTAGCATCAGGTATGTGTGCAAGTGCAAGAGACGAGGTCAGTAGCGTAGCATCACGTATGTGTGCAAGTGCAAGAGAAGAGACCGGTAGCGTAGCATCACGTATGTGTGCAAGTGCAAGAGAAGAGACCGGTAGCGTAGCATCACATATGTGTGCTAGTGCCATTGAACGTCGTTATTAGCCCACCCCACCCACCCCACCCCAACCCATTTGTAGTGTAGCATCAGGTATGTGTGCAAGTGCAAGAGACGAGGTCGGTAGCGTAGCATCACGTATGTGTGCAAGTGCAAGAGACGAGGTCGGTAGCGTAGCATCAGGTATGTGTGCAAGTGCAAGAGACGAGGTCGGTAGCGTAGCATCAAGTATGTGTGCTAGTGCCATTGAACGTTATTAGCCCACCACACCCCAACCCAACCCACCCCACCCCATCGGCCAAAAAAAACACAAAAACGCACGTACGGTAAACCAGCCGCCAGCAAAAACGTGTCATATGTGATACACAATCTGTCATATTGATCTGCATGAGCTCACGTTCTGGGCCCGGGATGTTCCTAAAGTGTCACCATGGTCGACATAGGTCCCAGTGGCAAACCCTGGTCTAGCAACAAGACGCCGTCAAAGAGGATATGGCTGACCTGGCGGCCGGGATCCTGAACTGGAGGTGAGGCCAATCCCAAGGTGGCACTGGAAGAGTGGCACATTTTTTGTCCACTTCCGACCTCCCAAACTGAGAAAACACACATGGAAATGAGCCAATGTGTATGTGCATCCCAAAAAAATTGGGCCCAGCATGATGAGTCTTAAGCCACTGCAGCTGAATGGCAAGGCTGAAGGCCGTTGACCATTGTTGACTTCTGTCCTGGCGAAAGGTGAGCTGAAGGCTCCAAAGTCCCATCTTTATTTCAAAAAATCGGCACGAGTTAAAGAAGATTAAAGAAGAGCAACACTGATTAAACATTGCAGATTTAAACTATTGTCAGAGAAATGGATTATTTAACAGTATATTTATGATTATTTATGATTATTTTGTCCCAGGACATGGCCAAGTCACACAGGCACTCACCGCTGCAGTGTACAGGATACCGTCGACCTCGACTGCCTGCAGGTTCTATCGCCAGCTAGGCCACTGTGCGCAATGCAAGGCCCCTGGTGCATCCTATCTGATTCATACTATGATCATTTAATGTATTCTTCCACTACAAGCAACAGATGGTACAGTGGAAAATGCCTATATGGAAAACTTTCACCACCTGTTGCAGGAACCAAGTGCCGCTTAAAGTGGTAAACCCTAAACCCTAAACCGACCATTTGGGGATGGTAAGCATGGCATTGAATCCATCCTGAAAAATCCGACCCGTGGCACATCCCTTCGTGGCAAGGCCTGCCCCTGGAGTTGCCACAAGGTTCCAATGGCGTGTGACCAACGACTCTGTCTTCCAGCGCTGGCGATCGTCTTCCTGAGAATCTTGGCGGTGGAGCCATGTTGAGCCACACAGGGCCTAAAGATATGAGATTTTGAAAATACTGTGCCCAATGGGGATTATATGGGGACATAAATTTAAATGATTAATGCATTATGTAAATATATATAAATATGGGCATTAATTAATCATGGAATGGAGAGAGAACTTGAAAATGACAAATTGAAACCAACAAGCACTCGAACCAGGAGAGCTTTCCACAACTCTGGCTTTCAGAAAGGCAACCATGCCATGGATGTGGGTGGAAAAACATGATAACATCCGTCCATGAAGAAGGGCCAGTGAAGTCCCAGTCACCTAGTCTCATGATTTTAGGCTCCAGGTATCTCCAGGTAGGGTTTCAACCAAACCATCGGCGAGTCTGAAAGTCCATTCCCGCCGGTCCCAACCATACCTCTAAGTATACTTCACAATGTATACTTCAATGTATTTGACAACTCAAACATACTGCCATATTCAGCTGCTCAACTTGAGGAGCTCAAACAGAAATGGCCCAAAAGACTTGAAATGTCCGCTGCTCTGAATGGTTTCTGGGACCATCTTTGGAACCAGCTGGTGATTCCAAGATCTTTCATCGGATCATTGGGATCCAAGGGTCGTGGCCTCCTTCAAAACAGCAACGCCTCCAGGGACTGGTGGACGGGCTTTCGATGTGGGCCTGCCATGCCATTGGGATGGGGCCGAAATCCGTTCTGGCAATGCTTGGGGTTCGGCAATCTAAACGGAAGGTGTGGACACTGCCCACTGGGTATGACCCAACTAAGACTTTCTGAAGTATACTGAAATAATCTCAAGAAATCTCAAGCATATACATTCCGACGTTTGGAGAAAACCGGGCTGTATTAAAAAATGCAAAGATACGCTGGGGCTTCTGAGACCATCCGGTGGGCTAGTGGGTTGGAAGGTTTGTGGAGACATGCAATCACCAACATCTTGTGGCCCTAGCTCAGGAAACTTTAGCCTAGCCACATGAACTTGGTTGCATTCGGTGCCAAAAAAGAATCGACGCATCGGAGGGTTTGTCCTAGAACTAAGAAGAAACACCTATAGTAACGTATAGCAACCATATGCAGTTCATCAAAATCTGTTTTTTCCAAAAAATCACCAAAATAACATAAAATAACCATTCCTATCAAAAAATCCCCCAAAAATCAGTTGATGAATTTTCCATTCATTCCCCATGATTTGATGGCCATTGACCGATGCCTTGTCGCTTGCATCACGCAGCATGGCCATGGCCGGACGGCCCGCCGGCACGGCGGGATACGGACTGGGACTTGGCACCGCACCCGGGCGATGGGACAACTCATGTGTACACATGTGATGTATTCGATGGCATAAAACCATATAAAACCATAAAAAACCGCTGAACAATGGTCAAACTTCTGAGAAGTAGTGTGGAACTGAACAGTTGTATAGTTGTAGTGTTCGACCGGTTGAATCGGTCATACTTAACGTTGAAGTCAGTGGATGTCAAGGCTTTGCCCGGTGGATCAAACTGGACCCATGGAGTGAGTGCCAAAGCACTGCGGCATGAGCATCCTATGCCCTGTGACTCAAAGGGGCCTAAAACCCCTGGAGATCCATCAGCTATTTTTGGCAATACGAAGATTACAAAGTGTTCACTGCTAGCTGCTAGCAGCTCCTCAACCCATTTAAAACATTCCCCCAATAAACATCAGTAAACTATATCAAACAAGTTGGAGGTATCAATTTTCAGAGGTTCTCCAAGATCCTCCAATATCTCTCAGCATGCCAGATCCGGATCGCACGGGGTTCCAAACTGAGCGTCTGGGAGGCGTCCTGAACGTCACCGGAGTCACGTCCGGGACACCGGTGATTTTCGAGGGAAAGTATAAAAACCGGAAAACAACAGCCTTGCACTCCTGCAATCCTTCTGATATTTTCTGATCTTTCTTGCTTATCTTTCTTGTTACTTGGAGCTGCCCTTGAAGCTCACTGCTGGCAAAAGGGCAAAAGCATGCAAACATGTTGGACATGCGGATGAGAAAACCCTTGAACCGATGAAACGATGCAAGACCCGCAACCGGCTCATCCTGAACATTGAAGCGGGGTCTTGTAATAAATTCGTACATCTATATATATATATATAATGAATCCAAGAACTGTAGCATCTTGTGTCTGAAAAGATAAACAATAAGGCTTTGGAGGGTGCTGACATGTCGTGATTTCTCGTGTGTTTTCCATAGCAAAAGGTGCCAAAACAACTTGGCCGAATTGATTTCAGGGAACATGCCCATCAAATACTTGTTTATAGACGAATCATCATGGCCTCATGTAGATGTTCCATTGAACTATCCATAGCTATCCCCATGATGTTCTCAGATATGTTGAGTCAATGTTGAGTACATGAGTGGCCAGGGATGGCCAGGCCAGCCCCCTGTATCTTCCTGGTCATCCACATGGAGGAATTCCACAAGGGGGCACAAAATCTGATAGTGAACACGTGTGAACACCATACTTACCATTCATTTCATATACATATATATATATATACATACATATATATATATATATACATATATATACATATATATATATTATATATCCATATAAATACGGTATCAACCAGGATAAATCAGGACAAATTTTCATCCCAAACCCTTCGAAGCCCCAAACCTTTGCCGCACCCAGGGCTGGCCCAGCGCACTGAGGGCACACTTTTCACACCTCCGAGCCTCTGGATATCTGGCCCGTCGCGCTGCCGCACACTGACCGCCCGGAAGCAGCGGAAGGGGCCGAAGCAGGGCCACCTCCTTGGTGGAGCGGAGGAATGGCAGAAACTGCGGATGGTTTTCCAAGTTGGATAGATTTTATCACGATTTTATCATGATTTATAATGATCGATCATGATTTATCATGTTTTGGGTGGGCCACTTGCGAATACATGGGAAACAACTAGAAACATATGGTCTGTAAATGTGCTTGGAATTGATCATAACAAACGAGAAATTGCTTAGAAATGTAGGGTTTGGTCCTGGACATCTGATGTAACTAGCGATGGCGCCCTGCCGTCCCTGCCACTGTAAAGCATGGCTCGCCTTGATGTTTGGCAACGAGGGAAATCTCAGCAGCACCTGACCAGAAGGAACCCTGGAATGCACGGCATTGCGTGGAGAATCGCTCAAGGTCCTAAGGTGTGTTAAACTTGGCTGGACATACGTGGTCAAGGATGTGGTGACGCACTAGCAGCGCGTCTAATCTTGCACAAATGGCCTGCCAGTAGTGACCCAATGACAGTGACTTGTCGCAATGCCGTGCCTCTGGATTGAACTCCTTCAGGGGTGCTTTGGATGCGAAGAGAGGTCGCCAACCACCATCCTGGCAGTCTTCCTGCAAGCACTGGAAGACAATGGTGTGGAGAAAGGCAGCAATTGAAGTCCAGAAAAAACATGGATGGTCTGGATGGTGTGGCTGGTTTACTGCCAGCTCCTCGGGCCAATCCTCAGGGCCAGCGCAGTTGCAAAGGAGAATGAACCTCGCCGTGAAGGTGCTGCTTGGACATTCCAAATCGGAGATATTTGAGATATCGCTGTTCCCCATTCCCCTGGAGAACGAATCTGCATGGTACAGCAAGAAATCGGAGATTCAAACTACACTCAACGACAAGTCCGTCGGCCTCAGAGTGGGCTTTCTCCGTAGCTCCTTCAGGAAGCTGCTGATGCGGGCAGAAGACCAATGCTGCAGGACGTCCTGGGCAAGTCGGCGCGCACAAAATGGCAGGACCTGGGGTACTGTCAAAAACTAAGGGATCCAAGGGCAATTAATCTCAATGAGAACTCATTTTTGGTGGATCTTGGTGGTTAGGCCAAGAGTATTGAGTCAGCAACTGGGAAGGATATGGGCGACACCAAAACAAGTTAAAACATGTTGAAACCACCCGCGGGTTGATGTTCGGTATGCTTCAAAAGGTTGGCCAGCTATGGCCAGCTGTAAATTTTGACCGAAACCAGTTTTCTATGCGGGAGGAAGTGGGAGCAAACCCAGCTTCCATTCGCACATGCATGAACCTGCCATCATGTCGGAATAAACAACACATCTGACATTATAGCCTTCTAGCCAATGCGAAAAAGTATTCAAAGCACTCTGAAGTTGAAGATTCAGGATCATTGTTGAATAACATGGAACATGTTTGGAAAGTCATCGAAATTGACGACCAAACACCTTTGGGGAACCTCACCCACCCACCGTCCTTCAAGATGTACAATTCGGCATCTTTGACCTCATGCACCTGCGAGGAGAATTCCTGGCGTCGAGAGGGGCACGGACCGGCACGGATGGAGATTGGGGGAGCATGTTCCCGGCTGAACACAACACATTCTGATGAGATATGAGATACCCTCTGGTTATTTAACATAGCCATGGTATAGATGGCCCATTTATAGATGGTTTACCTATTAAAAATGGTGATTTTCCACGGCTATGTTAAATAACCAGAGGGTACAGATATTGTGACAAAGTCCCAAGGTCTTCTTTGACTTCGGGACGCCAGCGACCCCTTTGAAAGTTTCAGTTGTTTTGTCTACAGCGGTGATGAAAATCCATGAAACCACCTGGATTCCCAGCGATGCTCAATGCAGTGCAAGGCTCTAGGTGCTCAAAGGCAAATCCTTGCTCTCCCCAATTTGCGCGATTCCTCATGCGTTATTTGAAGCGAGCACACGATTCATGATATTCATGGAACTCCCAGTGTTCGGGTTCCACTTGCCAAATGTGGCCAGCGCCAATAGATGGTTCAAATCCACAACATATGTGGCTATGACTGAATAACGCTGGTACCCTGCAGTTCACCTAAAATATACAATGCGCGCTTGCGCACACAAATAACATTATAAATTCTTATAATAGGTTTCAAACGATACCGATGCGCAAGTAGGAGATCCATAGAGATCCATAGAGGAGAAACCATAGACCCAATCACTCGGTGGAGAGCCAAGAGACTCTTGGATCACCGGAAGCACCACATCGTAGCCTGTGTAAGCAACACCCAGGTCATGGTAGATGTAAGGGCTGAACTGCCAGTCACCACAACCCAGGTCCACCACAGAGTGGATCGCATTCTCCTTGATGAACTTCCGCACAAACTCAATCCTGAGCAGCAAATGACGGGGCACCCGGCTGGTCTTGCCTCAATGCCATTAGCTTGAGACTAAACTGACTAAACTTTTCAAAGATCTGGGGTTTCTTAAATGGGGGTACCCCAAAATGGATGGTTTGTAATGGATGACTTGGGGGCACCAAGCGGCCATTTCAAGCAATGCACAGGCACGCTGCCAGCCCCTGAGCCTTTGCCCCAGGCATCCGTGGCATAGATCTTGGTGAAGGTCTCTTCCATGGTGAGGCCTTGGGTCACTCGACCCAGACTCTTGGCCTCCTACATCTCTAGATAGGTAGATAGATAGATTCGATAGATGATCGATCGATAGATTAGATAGGTAGATAGATAGATCGATAGGTAGATAGATAGATTCGATAGATGATCGATCGATAGATTAGATAGGTAGATAGATAGATCGATAGGTAGATAGATAGATTCGATAGATGATCGATCGATAGATTAGATAGGTAGGTAGATAGATAGATAGATAGATGATCCTTGCAACTGAGCAGCCTTCATAGACGATGCCACGTACGGTATCCGTCAACGGATACTTCTGCGACTTTGGTGCGCCCATGATCTTTGGCGCGCGTCAGCTGGAGTCCACGGAGTCCATGGAGTCTATGGGTGTGCCTTGTGATGGGCCTGGCTAAGGGGCTTGGGATGTGACTTGCTCATGGCAGAAGGCTGCGGTGTTAAAAAGGATCTGGAGTCTTTGAGCCATGACCACCATCATGAATCAATATTGCATATCAGATTAAATTACATTGACTACATTCAGACAAAACATCATCTATATGAAAATCCCTCCTTAAGTGTAGTGCATATATATATATATATGTTTCCCGTCACACACACATAGAACTATATTATACATATAAGTCTATAACAAACAAGAATAAACATTTATATATGATATATGTATAACATTGTATAACTATATGCATATATAATTACATATGCCATGTGGACGATGCACTCTCTTATTGATGCACGACAAGTTTGTCTTCGAGTCTTCAACCTGCACCGGTTCAGCGTCCTCTGGGGTTTCGGAAGCCATCTGCCAGGTGGCCCTTGGCGCATGGAAGCGGTCAAATGCCGTTGTCAAGTTTGTTGTTTTGGTATCTTTTTTGAAGGCTTAGTGCGCCATGTGGTACAAACACGCAATTACACTCCTATATACTATACATATGTATATATATATAAATATACATATTAATTTACATACATATTATATTGGATAGATAGATATAGAATGATATAGATATCTCTCTCCATGGCCATCTCCAGGAGTCTAGCCAAAGGCTAAAGGCGATCCAGGACCAGCGACAAGAAGGAGCAGCTGAGCCCGCTGGCATTGTTGCTAGCTGCTTCATGGCGCTGCTCAATGCCATGGGCAACAAAGAAACTTCCAATACGATCTTTATCTATATAAACAATATTATGTGTATATATGTAATATTTAATGTATATTATGTACAATAAATATTAAAAAAACTACATATATATAATAAACAGTTAGACATATAGATTACGTAGATAAACGCACGCAACAATATATTCCACCATCTTCTTGCTTCCCTTCGTTCACACATCCACCAGAATACCGCAACATGTAACATACTGCAGCAAAACGCAACGAGTAAACATCTGGAAAGTGCATCGAGTAAACATCTGGATTTCTGCAACTGAACCTTCAGGATTCACTACGTAGTCGTTCTACAACACTCACTGGCTTCTAGCCCGCTTCTGTGCTTGGAGGCTCATCCCACTTCTTTAAGTGGCTAAAAACCTTGCTTAGTAAGTCCTGTAAGTGGGATTCCCGAACTGAGGATCCTCGCGCACAACTCCAAATCTCTTGGCTGCGGCTGCTATTGCTCGCCACCACAGCAGTGGTCGCGGTGGCTGCCTTGGCCATGGGTCAGGCATGGCCAGTTGTCAAGGGATTTTTTTTCGAATATCCCCACATGATCCCCCAAAAACAGTTCCAATATGTTCCAATACTAGATAGGGGGTTGTAAGGGGATATTTCTCAGGGGGGATGGGATTAGAAGCGGTAAAAACCGCCATACCCCATGCAACCCATTTTGAGAAATTGAGTCAGGGTTGAACATCAGATGTTCTGATTTTTTGTGCTATTTCCAGGTTTCCAAGGATTTTTTTTTTGTGGGAACAATGGTCTCAGAAGAGCGAATCATGCAACCCCCCATTCATGACCCCCCTAGGCCCCAGGCTGCTTGATTGGGGGGTGCCATTTGAGAGAAATACTGACTATTGAAAAGGCAATCCCCAGATCAACCACAGTTTATGAAGCGAGGGTTGGCATTACGCTTCTCGCAAACAATTACCCTCTGGTTATTTAACATAGCCATGGAAAATGGCCCATTTATAGATGGTTTACCTGGGTTTACCTATTAAAAATTGTGATTATCCATGGCTATGTTAAATAACCAGATGGTAAATGAATGATTACAACCAAGTGCATGCGCTGTGTGAACTACTTGAAATAAGGTACAGTAAATTTTGGGTGGTTAGCATCATCTGGACGCCATGGTGCGGTCGTTTCTAATTTACTCATGATGTATTGTAGTGTAGCCCCACTTCTTGTAGAACAAAAGATCATCCAGTATGCAGTCTGGTAATTTTTAGTGATTAAGATTTATCAGCCATCCAATTGTTGGCAAGTGAGATAAGTGATATAGATTGATATCACACGTGTGGGATGTGTGTGTTATGTTATGTTATGTGCTGTTAAGTTAAGTTATCTTATGCAATGCTATTATGTGTGCATGCATATGGCATACTATGATGTCCGAACTTCTTTCCCGTGTTCGTTGAGTAATCCCTTCACCTACATATGAAACACCCCCCAGAAACGATGAACAACTATGGCAACTAGGGGAACCATTGAAACTCATTTTCCCTCCCTTGTAGTTGGCTGGGCGCGCGCAGAAGGCCGCGTCACGAAACAGTGTTTTTGCATGTTCACTGCACTGGCCCCAAAGCGAGAGCGCATTTTTTCCTTTTTTATTGTGTTTCGCCTCAGCGAAACCTCTTTTTTTGTCTTTTTTTGTTGTTTTTTTTGGCGTGGTGTTGGTTGGGGGGGTGGGGGGGGTGGGGGGTGGGTGGGGTGAAGAGGGGCCCTAGCGTCTACTTCAAGATCAGCTAAGGCGTCTTCCCCAATGACAGCACTCTTTTACTCTCAGCCTGTTGCCGGTCAGTGCTTGTCTACAGGGTTACTCTATATACCTCTTTCTTGAGCCTTGAAGGCGCATATAAATGTGCTCAATACTCATGCATGTACCTATGTAGGTATTCGGTCGAAAACAAAAACACACAGGCACAAATTCAAAAACAATGAGTTGAGCACTACGCCTTGCCGTACCCAATTGGTATTAAGAGTATCTTCCTGACTTCTCTACACAATGGCAAATAGCAAAAGAAACCGGAGTTACGCAGTGGCTTCGAATTGAAAAACACGTGAAAGCAGCGAATGTCCTAAGGACATGTCGAAAAAGAACAGCGGATTCGCTAATTTTTCCAGTAGTGACCAATGGTGCTTCGCGCACGGTCTCTCCACAGGCAAAATGCCTCGCTCTACCGGTGAAAGTTCGAATTGAAAAGTTCGGGTTCGCAAGATTCAGAAATTCAGGTCATACGAAAACAATTGACCAAATCACGAAATAAACGGAAATAGCGGATCTCCAAAGTTGCTCATTCAAGCAAACAATGGACTGAAATCGAAATTGGTAAATTTTTGAAATTCGCTCCATTCGGAGTGGTCTGCTCGCCGGATGTTCATGGAGATAAATGTATATAGTATCTCTATTTACAAGAGTCTCTATTTTACATTAAATTGAAGTTCAGACACTTGTGGCATTATCTCTATCTAAAAGAGTATATGCCATCTCTGTGAAATAAGTTGAACGCACAGAAAAAACTGTACACGGCTTCTCATGCTGTGTTATCTTCAATTAAAGAAGTGTACACTCACTCATCGCCACTCACTTGATCTCCATGGTCTGGACGCTGAAGATGAGGATCCACCCCACTCTGTGTTGCCCTGATACGTCGATGCTTGATCTTCCATATGCCGTTCTCTTTTTCCTTCCTCATTCTGTCTTGTCCTATCTTGAATCAGCAACTGCTTCTTCTGTAGCCTGTTTGGGAATATGTCGTTCATTTCCCATGACCTATCAGAATGATCAAGATGGATAAGAATTGGATTATGAGCATCGCGATCATTTGGAGCAACCATGAAGATGTTATGATCACCATGTAAGCAAGTTTCATTTACCTTGAAGTAAAATTCACCCACATAGTTCATGTGATCTTCATCCTCAAAGTCTTCTGGGTGTTCCTCACACATCAAACGTGAATGACCCCACTCAACAACTGTTATCATACAACAATCACCTTTACCAGTTGTCTTCTTCATGATCTCGTCGGTGTATGCTGCTGTTGTAATGCCATCCAAGTGCGTTGCAAGAAAATCCAAGTCACGATAACTGCAAGAAATGAAATGCTTGACCCTGATTGGAGGGCAAGTTGGATCAAAATTCTTGCGCATGGCTTGTGTTGCAACACCTACCATTCTGTTAATCCAGAATTTGATAAGGCTGTGTTGATATGTAGGGACACCTGGAGATTTTGGTGTGCTGTAATAGCATGCCTTGTTTCCATCACCTGCGATGAAGTCAACTTGATATCTGGGCACACTCAAAAGCCATAACAGCTAAGCACTCACCAACAATCCCAGCAGAGTCTGATGCATACTTCTGTCCGACGTGATAAACGCACACACGTGTCATTCTCATCCCAGCTCTTGTCAAGTCAACAATCTCATCTGTATCTCGATCCTTTGTCTTTCCCCAAGATACTTCAAAGATTGCCCATGAGACTTGTCGAACTCGTGTGTCGTTGTCATCTGTGTGATATCCAGCAATTTGCTTGATATAGCCATCCTTTCCAAGGCGAGCTGCCACCATCAAGTCATGATAGTCATTGAAGCAAGTTTTAAAGTCACCCTCGTCGAGTCTTTCTCTGTGAGGATACAACGAACCAGCCTCGCAATTCATGAAAAGATGTCCTCCAAAGTTCTTGATGACATTGATGAAGTAATTGTTGAACTGTGATTTGTTTTCATCAAATTTTTCATGATCCTCATCGATGGTGTAGTCAATGTGTGGAATGAATTGTTGAAATCTTTCTGTAACCGGGCATTTTTCAAATCTGTTTCTGCACCAGTTTCCCAAATTCCAAAACATTGCTGTTATCTGTGGAGAGGATCTGTATGGAAATTCAGCATCCTTGTACGTTGGGTCTGATAGGCCTCCACCTAAATACCTGTAAGCCAAGCTATGCAAGATCATACAGTAAGGCAAGACCTTGTGGTCCTCAACGTAATCTTGGAGTACCCTTGTGAGATTTCCAAAATCGTCATCAATCCTCTTTTCTGCTTCTTTTGAGGATCTTTCTGCTTTGTCTTGATGAAGAGGATGCATCCTTGGATCACTACAACCATATTCAATGCGCTGATTAAGTTCTTGTAATTCTAGTTGTGGATCCTGATTCTTG